ATCTCCGGTAATGTAGCCTGTCTCGAGATTAGCTAGTTGTATGTTCCACGGCAGACTGTTGCTCACTTCTGGATTGCTGTTTTCCCAAGCTGTGGTCATGGCATCAGAGAACTCTCGGCTATTTAGCCGAACTTGTCCTGTAGATGCTATCACATATAGGGGCTTCACCTGCAGAAAGGTAGAACAGGCTATGAAACTAGTCTAACCAAGTTAGAACAAGCATGAGAGTTAGACAAGCAAGCCAAACAAGTGCATTAACATGGTACAGTTTCTTGTATACAATAAGGTTCTCACGTGCTGATCAAAAACAGTAGCCTTGTTTTTTTTAATATTGAGATAATACCAGCATGACTGTTAATTAGTTGGATATTGCAATATTACTGAATGATGTATTCATGTAGTTAACTAAAGTAAATAACTTATTCATTACATGGTCAGACTACTTATAGGAACGTTTCTGTGAGTTTACATACTTGACATCAGTTCCAAAAAAAGGTTGCATACAGACCCTGTTTGCAAGACAGACGGATGGTGGACATCCAGATCCTTTCATGGTGTTCAGGATGCTGCGGATCAGTACTTGAGAGTCTGGGGTGATTATCGATGGCCGAGCTTCTGTCGAATTGTAAGACACGACGTACGCAATAGAGGTGCCTGGCTGGTTGTTCCTTGTCCTGTCCTCAATCGTCATTCCCGTAACAATGATTGCCTTTCCTTAAATTACAGGAGATGCAATAATGAAAGATTAGTATGTTTTCAATTATCAGTAGTGTCTAACCTTGGTATTTCCATGGACTAAAAAAAGACAGGGCACATAACAAAGCACATCAATTTTATCTAAAGAGATCTGCTGCTTTGTACATAATATCCATATATATTATATATACAATTATATATATATATTATGAAACAGTTTCCTAATTCTATCGATTGCTCAGAGTAAAGTTATTAGCTATTGCTCACCAGGGTTTGCTGTCTGCCAGACTCTCCTCACCGCCCCGGTAACCGCATCCACTTCAAACCTCTGATACGGAACGACGTCAATGTTCACCGTGTGGTCCACGTTAACCTGCTTCGTCACTCTCGCATCGAGCACCTCCACAGCTAACCTCGCATTGACCAAGCTGAAGAGAGGCGCGTCTTCCGGACGCACGATCCGTCCGTCAACAGACAGGAAGTATGTTGCAGCCGTCGCAGGCCGGCGGTCACTCGTTCTTGCCGACTCTGTGTTGACCAGGTAGACCCGTACGCGTGGAGACAGACCCTGCTCCCCGTACACTTGATCCCACGCGTCCTGCAGCTTCTGCTGCGTGTCCGCGGACGTCTGCCGGCCGAAGATGACGCTCTGGAAGTGGTAGTCGTCGCCGAAGACGTCGTCGGTGTCGATGCGGACGAGGCCGATGCGGCGCAGTCGCGAGGCGACCTCCGCCGGGGTCGGCTCGGTCAGCGAGCGCGCGACGTTGAACTCGTGCGGCAGCGAGACGGCGTAGGTCAGCGAGAAGACCGGCCGGCCGGCGGCGGTCAGCGAGCCGGGCACGAACGCGGCGTCGTGGATGCGCAGCTGCCACGGCAGCGCCGCCAGGGTGCGCGGGTTCACGTCGAGCCAGGCCGCGCGCAGCGAGCTTTCGAATGCGGTACCGTCAATACCCGTCGTGGACGTGGCGTCGGTGTGTCCGAGCACGTTGTACGTCTGAAGCCACGAGAAAGAGAGAGTTAGTTATCCCTCGTAGGTGCCTAGATGGCACATAAGGCAGTACGAGAGAGAGAGACACGCAATGAAGAAATTAGCATGAAATTTATATGAGAATAATATATCTACAGACAACGTCCGTATGTGTTGCCAACTAGTGATTGCTACATTCTGCTGAAACATCTGCTTTTAACTATCTGCATAAGTTTAAATTAATTTTAAATTTTAAATTTAATTTACTGTTTGTAAGATGAGGATAAAAATACGATGACTAATAATCAAAGACCCCACAATGAGCATCTCAAACTTTTCAAACACGCCGTACCGCATTAAAATTCGATAAAACGTGACGACACTAGACGGAAAACCCACGCACGCATTGTCACGTTTGCTGGCACTCACCCGACTGCTGTTTAATGGTCCGAATGACCTCGTCAGATGACGGAGAACCACGCTGGTCCTCGGAGCTGTGGCTCCCGACTCATCGTCTGCTCTCGTGTATGTTACTCTGTAGCTGATGGCGGTGATAGGTTCGCCGTTCCGCTGCCGATTGTTATATCCGGTTATCACAACTTCGTCGATGCTCATGTCCTTGTCTGCATTAAAATGAAACACACATTACATAAACATAATATATCATTATCATCGCCGTCATCATCATCATTAGTATTATTATTATTATTAATATTATTATTATTATTATTACTATCATTGTTATTATTAACTTGGAGTTGATGTAAGGTGGCACTGCTACATAACTATTCCAGTGCAATTGCTTCAAAATGATCTTGCTTCAAACCACAGTAGGTGTTTGTACGATGCATTTATGGACAGGGTTAAACAACATACAATGTTCCTCAGTCCCCAAACTACCTGGGTGATATTCACACATTACGGAGTACGCATGTCAAACAATGTATGCTTTACGCAGAAATTCCCTCCGAAGCAGAAATTCTCACCAGCATTGACCTCACGTGGTGACTGACCCTGCTCCCTGTACACTTGGTCCCACGCAGCAGCGAGTCTGTTGGCAGCCTCTGCTGATGGAAGCTGGCCAAGTACGATGCTTGTAAAGTGGTAATCATCTCCGTACACCTCACCAGGACGTGCAAGCACATAGCCAAGTGATCTCATCTGTTGAGACATCTGATCAAACGACGGTTCTTTGAACGTGGTTTCCACTGATCTGTCTGCAGGCAGCATGACATCATAGTTGACCCCAACGGCAGGTTGCCCATCTCCGGTTATGTAGCCTGTCTCGAGATTAGCTAGTTGTATGTTCCACGGCAGACTGTTGCTCGTTTCTGGGTTGCTGTTTTCCCAGGCTGTTGTCATGGCATCAGAGAACTCTCGGCTGTTTAACCTCACTTGACCATCAGATGAGATCACATAGAGAGGATTCACCTTTGACAAATATGATCAAAATTATTCAATTTATTATATTTTTGGGAACATTTTCTACTAAACTAACATCTAACAGTGCTAGTTTGATATTTCGGTGCTGCGACTCCCTTAGTGTCTACAGATGTAAACATACCATCGATGAATATATGCTATTGGAACAGATCTAAAGTAGAAATCAATTCAACATATGCTTACTATATATATAGTAGTACTTCTAGCAATGTACTTACTCTGTTTGCAAGACAGACAGATGGTGGACATCCAGGACCCTTCATGGTTTCCAGAATGCTGCGAGTCAGTACTTGAGGGTCTGGGGTAACTGTAGAAGGCTGAATGTCTGTCGTATTGTAAGACACAACATACACAATAGAGGTGCCTGGCTGGTTGTTCCTTGTCCTGTCCACAATCTCTGCACTATTCACAATTATTGTCTTGCCTGTAAATATTAGTTGCAACGTGTTAAAATATAATGTACCAGAATGTAGGAAACATAACTCGAAAACACCAGCAATTACTTCATGTAAGTTTTATCTTTACTTTTCAACAATTAACAACTCGTAAATATCTACAATTAGCTCAATGATGGGTTAATCAACAATTAATTGAGTGCAGAATTAGGATATGATTGTTTGTATGCAGGAACAGACTGGTATTTAATTTAAACATATCTCGTTACACTCCTTAGATGCATTTATTAGCTAGATATCTTGTACGCACTGGCAAAATAGTTGTTTAAATTGCTCACCAGGGTTTGCTGTCTGCCAGACTCTCCTCACCGCCCCGGTAACCGCATCCACTTCAAACCTCTGATACGGAATGCCAGCGATGTTCACCGTGTGGTTGATGTGCACCTCTGTTAGACGTGTCTGTGTTGAAACATAATCTCGAAACCACCAGCACATTACTTCATTGTAAGTTTATCTTTTTTACTTTTTCAACAATTAACAACTCTTAAATTATCTACAATTAGCTCAATGATGAGGTTAATCAACAATTAATTGATGTGCCGAATTGGATATGCTTCGTTGGTCATTGCAGGAACAGACTGGTATTTAATTAACATATCTCGTTACCACTTCCTTAGATGCATTTTATTTAGGCTAATTCTTTGTATACTGTAGCACTTGGCAAAATACGTTGTTTTAAATTGCTCACCAGGGTTTGCTTGTTCTGCCAGACTCTCCTCACAAAGCCCCGCGGTACCACGCATCGCTTCAAAACCTCTGATACGGGAAATGCCAGCGATGTTCACGTGGATGGGTTGATTGTGCACCTGCTGTGTAGACGTGTCGGATCTGTCGGGTGGAGAGTGCGTGACTGACACCTCGTTGCTCTTAAGATATTACCTTAAAACGCGCTTTGAAGATAAGAGGCACGGTACTAGACAGACGCCACGGTCCGCTCCATCGACAGACAGGTAAGTTTGTTGCAGCCGTCGCAGGCCGGCGGTCACTCGTTCGTCGCTCGACTCTTGGTGTT